ATGGCAGCAGCATGTGTCGCCCAAAACAGCAGCCTGGCTCGCCAGTCATGCTCCGGCTGCCGGCCAGGCTCTGGCACGTCTGGATGGTCATTGCTGCAACCCTGGGAGACCCCCAGGATCCCAGATGAGGCTGCAGGGGCCAGCCCAGGTGCTGGCCTCAGCCTCCCCTACCTCACCTGAGGCAATTTGCCCCATGCCAAAGCACACATATAGGGGCATTCCCTGGGGACAGCTAACAGTGGCACAAATATGCGCCACTGCTATTTATCCCGGGGGAAACACACATAGAATAGCACTGAATTCTTTAAGGTGACAGCAGTGTCCCACAGAAAGAAACCTGGGGCTTAAGAAGGATGTGGCAGAGGCTACTGAGCGCTGTGCTTTTGTTAGACAGGAGCAGAGCCCCAAAGCAGTCCTAAATGTTACAGCAATGGACTCGAAAACCACAGGGTGCCCTGTGGTGGCCCTAATTTTGACACAGTGTTCCTGTAAGCCATGGAAATGGCCATATTGGGAAACTGGAGCCTCCAGTATGCATGGTGTAGAGTACTTGAAAGATAGAGCAGCCTGTCTGGAGATTAGTGGGGCTGCCTTAACCCAGCTTCCAGAATAGTTTTCACCTTCCTCCCAATCAGTCTGCTTTTGCAAAAAATTCAACTCTCCCCTTCCCTCCGATCCCTCCTCCTTTCTCCCCTTCCTGCCATATGCTCCCTAGCATATGCATTTCCTAGAAATCTTGATTAAGACCAAGCAAAGACAGCCCCAGTGAACCCAGCCCACCAGCTGCCTGATGAGCCCATCACTTTGCCTTCCATGGCTTGGCTTGACGTCAGCTGCCTGCTCTTTCATAAACAAATGTCAGGAAAATTGAACAGAGGCTGCTGTCAGGGCGGGGGGGTGTGTGGGTATTGTTTCCCTGTGTAACCCTGTTATTGCATGTAGATGCATGTGACTTAATGAGTAGAATTGAAAGATGCATCGATTGGATAACCTTGTTTGTGTAAAGGTTGACACAAGGCAGATCTTGCCTCCGTACCTGTGGGATCTAATTAAAGTGCATGTGGATGGGCAGTGGTGGGGTCAGTGCAGCGTTGTAGTTATCGTAAAAAAAAATCCCAACCAAACAAAAGAAATTAACTATTGGATTTAGCTAAAGGGCAGGAGCATGGCCAGTGAGATTTCCTCACTGGATCACCAAGTTATTTTGCAAGGCTCTGGTGGGAGGGAGAAGGCAGAGCTGGGACCAGCTTTGACCTCAAACTCAATGAAGCGTACAAGCACTGTGCTGTTAAGATCCCACCTAGCGAGCAAACCTGCTGCACCATTGCTGGGCAAGGGTGCATGGTGACAGTGCTAAGGCAGTAGTACACCTTAGTTGTCATGGTGTCAAAGGGCCTGCACAGCAAGTGTGCCACAGGACACTAAGGAGAGCAAGCTTGGTGCGCGAGTTTGGAGAGAAAAGGAGCTGGCTGTTAGGACAGCATGGGTATACGGTGTTGGTGCCATGCATTCTGGGTGTGCGCTTGTGTGGGTGCAGTACAAGGCAACTGAGTCATGTCCATATATGCAAATTGTGACAGGAGTAGAGCAGCATAGGTGTATGGTGGCAGTGTGGTGGGAGAGCCTGGGTGTCTCAGTGAGCAGTGGACTGCATGGGTATGGAGGCGGCAAGCAGGCAGTGAGGGGTGCCATGGCGGAAGATGTGCAGTGTGGGTTATGGGAACAGGAGGTTGACCAAGTAACTATGCAGAGACCACATGAGGAGGTTTCCACTGCATAGCAGGCTCTGCTTTTGTCCCAAGTGTTGTCCATGTGCCTTTACTCAGCAGCCAGACTCAGCTGCCTCTGCACAGCTCTTTGCTGTGGGACTGGGCCCCAGGTCACGGGTCCAGACTCCTAGCTCCATGTCCCCTGGTGGGTGTTGAGCACTGAGAGGGCTGGAAGCTGTTTCCTGAGAGGTGGCTCAGGTGTTTTCTTTTTCCACCACTCCCTCCTGCGCTTCACTCCCTGACACCCTCTGCACATGGCCTCGCTCACGCCAGCACAGTCACTGGGTCTCTTTCCTTGGCTGGAGATGTGAGGGGAGCCTGCACCCGTATGTGCCTTCAGGGAGCCGTAAACTGTGAGTCCACCACAAGGGAACATAACTTGGAGCTGGAGGAGGAGTTCAAAGGAAAGACCAGCAATGATATAATGCCTGTCCTCCCTACTACATCTCTCTGCCTGCCAGGAAGCTATTTCCAGCTCTGTGACCTCTAAAAACCTCCAGGGCATCCAACCCATGCTCTCGCTGTCTCTACCTCTCTTTCTCTACCGCTCGCTCTCATCCTTTATTAAAAAAAACCTTTTTCACTTTTTCCACTGTCTTTCCAAACAATCAGGAAATCCCTGCAGAGCTCTGGGCCCGTTGAAAACCATCCTGGCTTGGTCATCAATGGCAATCTATTCGTGTCAGCAACACACACATCCCTCCCTGACCTGGTAAATGGACTGGGTGGGATGTTTTTTTTTCTATGTGCCCTTTCCCTTTCCTTGAATTCCTTGTTACATTGTTTGTGTCTGAACCACCCTTCCACCCTCGCCTGCGCAGTGCAGAGGTGGGGAGAGAATTGTATTTCGTTAATCTTTACAAAAGGAGGTGATTCATTCTTATACATCTGAGCTATCTCTCTTGTCTGTCCCTATGTCTGTCGCTCACTATATATTCCTTCGAGCTGCCTCTCCACCTCTCTATCCATCCATCTATCCTGGAGAATCGCTAATTGTTCTTTCCACTCCCGGGCATTTAATTAAGATTTTTAAAAAAATTCAAGGAATAAAATAATATAACATTTTTCCTCCCATCCCTCTTGCTATTTCTCTCTCTCTCTCTGTTTTTTTTCTTGTTGAATGGGAACATTTCATAAATGTCTGGAAACAAATACCGCAGACAGGGCTGAGTCAAGGCGCCTTTTTAAAGGTGGCTGTACATTTGGGGAAGCTGACAAGATCGCAAACAATAGGGTGCATGACGTACACGTCTATTTTTACCCTTTTTTTAATAAATGGCTTGAGGAAGGCGTTTTTTACTACAGTTTTGTGTTAAATACCAAACCTACTAAAACTGTCCCTGTTCTCCCCGAGGTAATTTCTATCTTGAAGGCGTAGCCTGGTGGGGGGTTAGTTGTATCATGCAAGCCAGGCATTTGCAACCTGGCACAGTCAGAGATTTGAAGGTCAAAATACCGTTTTAAGTACTAGAGTTTAGTCAAGTATGAACTGCCCGGGGCTGTGAAGCAAGTGTGTGTAAGTGGGGGACTGGGAAGGAAATTCTAGCTCAAAATAATGGATTTACACTAAATTAAAAATGGGCTTTAAAACCTGCTAGAAATAGATTCTGCAACGTTATTAAGGGGAAATAAAGGTTTCACTATTGCTGTGGTAGCACCTAGAAGCCCCAGCTGAAACCAGTGCCATCTTTGTTGGGCATATGTGAATATATTGAATGTACCCATGAGAATCTAAATGTACTTGCTGAATCTGCTGATGGCAATTGATGCACAATTTTGCCTTATGTTCACAGTATATTCCACACTGGCCAGCTTGGCAGCACTCATACCCACACTTATTCTTGAAGTCATTTGTTTCAGAATGCCCTTGGACAAACACAGCAGAGACTCCTTAGCCACGAAGCTTTCAGATATAGAAGGAGAGAGACAGTGACTTACACAGTTGGTCCATGGTGGAGCCAGGAGTACAACCTAGCTCTTCTGAGACCCTGTCACATCCCTGGAACATCAGACCAGGGGTCCAGGCCTGTTGGGGTTTAGCCAAGCATTTCCCTGCGGTGTGGGGAACTCCACTGCAGTAGCTGGGTCCAGCACATGAGAATGGAGAAAGGAAAGTGATCAGGTTGCTTGCAGTCTGTATGGATGAGCAGGTAGGAAAAGTTAGCAGTGGGAATAGGTTTAAAGAAAGAGGGACATCAAAAATATATTATTGCAACCTGTTCTCTACAAGTGTCATTTTTCCTGTGTATCAGATTGCAGTATCGGGTGCTTTTAGCAGCAGTGAGGAATTCTTGGCATGCTGATAGGATCGCATTTATATCCCCATTCCCATCCAGATGCACCCTGAAAGTATTTGACACACTTACAGATGACAGTACCTGGTCCTGCAGCGTGTACTCTTGGAAATCATTCCTAGCAAGATTGGAGTGTTGTAGCCCTGTTGATAGAAGAGATGTTGATTGACAAGGCTTTTTTTGTGATGTCTTTACTTGAACCAACTGTATAGTTGGGAGGGCTGTTGGACAGTTCTTCCGCAGGAAAGCTTTCAGTAGGCTGACTCACCTGAGTAAAGAAAGCATGAGCAGAAAGGGGGCACTTTTCTGGGGAAGCTCTGTATTCGGGCGCCGTTCCACTCGTCTTTGGACTGGAGGCAGTTCTGGGGTAGAGATCAAGGACATGTAACTGTGCCTAACAGCAGAACACAGTGATTGAAAGCAGGAAAGGAAGAGCACCATACACAATGAAATTTCAGGGGCAGAAAGGAGCTCAGCTATGACCTCCCACAATGGAAGTGGGCTTGAAAACAGTGGTGTGGCTCCACTCTTACATACACAGACCACCTTCCCTCTTAAAAGTCTCCCACTGCACTGGGCACAGAGCAGATACAGAGGGGAAATCAGCCCTTGCCAAAAGCAGCACGTGATCTATAGAGTCAAAACAAACCCCATTATCTCAGCTTTGCGGATGGGGTACTAAGGCACACAGAGATTAAGTGACTTGCCAGAGGTCACACAAAGAGTCCATGGCAAAGCTGAAAACTGCTCAGATTGCTTGAGTCCCAGCTTTGTGCCTGAACTACAAGTCCACCCTTTCTCTCCAGATGTCATTAGCAACCTTGATGCTCACAGCAAATGCAGGCTGAACCACTTGCTGACTTCACTGAGCTGTTAGCAATCACTCTCTTTCCTTTTTCTTTCTCTCTTCTCTTTTTTTTCCTGCAAAACATGCTAGGCATTCAAGGGAGCCCTGATGAGCTCATACTGGTGCTCAGGAAAAGGAGATGTGATCGAGGACTGGTGCAGGTGTGACCTCAATGCCTTTGATGAGAGTGGACTCCCAAACTGCAGCCCTCTCCCTCAGCCTGTGTACGTATCTCCATGAACTGGGCTCTGTTGCAAAGCGGCCCCCTCTCATTAGCTGTGTGCGGTTACAGATTTACCCACGGGCGCCTCCTTGCTCTTGCATTCAAGCCCAGGGCTAGAGTCCAGTGCATCTTGCTGTGTGACTGATGCCTTCAGGATATCCTGGCTCAGGCAGCGGCTCTGGATGGTTTCCTTATAGATTTTCATCACCTTATTACTAGGGTTTGTAGAATGAAATTTAAAATGGTAAAAGAAATGGAATTACAGTGCAATTCATTGTGGCTTGTTGGAGCGAGAGCAAATCAGGAGCAAATTAATGGGGAATTAGCTGAGAAAGCAGGAAGACTGGCTCCAGTTGTCCACAAGGAACAGAACACCTTTTTAGTGAGCCAGTATCCTAAGAGGGGATTGATTTGCCATCCTGAGTTCAAACAGCACATTTGTATGCTCTGAGCCTGGTTCTCCATAGCCCTGTACTTTGTGTAGCTGGTGACACCACCACAACATGGTTGTGATTAGGCCTGTGCAAAGCAGCTAGTATTCACTTTGGATTTGGCTGATTTGGGGGACAGTGATTCGATTCGGTGATTCAAATCACTGTCATGAATCAAAGAGCCAGGAGCTGGGGTGGATGGGGGAGCCATGGAGAGGGGGGGCTAAGACAGTGGGCAGGGGTCTTAGGCTGCTCAGGGGGCTGGGGGAGCAGGTAGGGTTTGGGGCCTGGAGGGGTCCCCTCATGGTCTCCTCTCCCCTCCTCCAGCCCCCACTCCCTGCCCCCTACTTACCAACATGGAGTCTGTGTCCAGCTCCCTGCTGCAGCAGGTGGGGACTGCCCGAATCTCCAAATCGATTCAGAGAGCTTTGAATCCATTTGCACCTTTTTATTGGTCTCCTGATTCAGTTTGGATTCAGAGATTTGGCTGCCGAATTGGGCCAAATCTCCTCCAAATCAAATCAGCACCTGAAACTTTGCACAGCCCTAGTTGTGATGCTTGAGGTGGTCGCACTTTGCACTGGTGTGATTGGTGATACAAGGCACAGGACTTGAGGAAAAATCAGGCCTCACTCTTCCCCCTTCCCCTCCCCTGCCACGCAGCCTCTAGTTCACTAGTACTCCTGCAGTCTTACATCATAAACACTACCTGAGCTAGCTTCTCCCCTCATTTACGCTCAATCCCTTCATTTCAGCTAGGGTACATGGACATTCGGCGGGGGGGAAGTTTGACTCCTTAGAACCATAGAAAAGGATGGCCAGGAGGGACCTCGGAAGGTCACATCTAGTCCAACCCCCTGCTCAAAGCAGGACCAGCCCCAACTAGATCATCCCAGCCAAGGTTTGTCTAGCTAGGTCTTAAACACCTGCAAGGATGGAGATGCCACAACCTCTCTGGCTAACCTGTTCTTGTTCTTGTCTGTTTGTGAGCCCATACGGCTGCTGAACCAGGCTTCTCCTCTCTGATTGCAGGAAGTAATGATATGGGAATTAGTTGGGAAGGAAGGTAAGACTCCTCCAGGTATACTGGCTTTAGTCATTTAGTCCCGAGGCAGAGGCAGGGGTTGTGGCTTTACTCACATGAAGTGTAGCTGAAAGTTTATTTTTCTCCCTTAGCTTTTACGCCCCTTGCTTTTTATAGTCTGGCGAGTTGTGCAGTGCATGGAAGTATCTGTTTTAAAAAAAAACATATTCCCGAGAGCATTAACCAACCTCTAGGCTTTCCATCTTTTTTTGTGTCTCTCTTGCAGGTTGCGCCTGTCTCCCAACGTAGAGCCCTCCAGCACAGTGGTCTCTCTGGAGTGGCTGGATGTCCAGCCTGCAATTGGGACAAAGGTTTCTGACTATGTCCTTCAACACAAGAAGGTTGATGAGTACACAGACACTGACCTCTACACAGGTAAGTGAAGGCAGCTGGCTTCCCCGTGCTCTGGGGAATTTTGCAGTAATTCAACTGCTTCTGTATCCTGAATCACTGATTTCAGAGGTAGGGCCTCAATTAGTCAAAGTTTGGTCTTGTGCAGGAGGGTGCATGAAGCAAAAATGTCAAATCTTTGTCAGCAGTGACTGCTGAAGGCCTCTAGGTATTCCAAGACTGGGGGGAGATAAGGGAGACCTACAAAAAAATGTTGGGCAACTGCAAAGAGATCATTTGCATTTCAGAAGTGCCTGGTGCTGGAGCAACCAGGCAGTGACTAAAAAAAACTAAGCAGCAGATAGCATGGTAAGGATCTTCCTGAACAGACCAGGAAACTTTGGACTGGAGTTTCATGACTGGATTTGAAAACAGTGCAATGAATGTCTTTTTCTGAAATTCAAGTCCTTGGGCCCGCACTGTTTAACATCTTCATCAGTGACTTGGATGAGGGGGTTGAAAGCATGTTGTCCAAGTTTGCTGATGACACTAAGATGTGGGGCGAGGTGGGCACACTTGAAGGGAGAGAGTGGCTGCAACTGGATTTAGACAGACTACAAAAGTGGGCAGATGAGAATAGGATGGGGTTCAACGTAGACAAATGCCGGGTGCTGCACCTTGGGAGAAGGAATCCACAGCACACACACAGGCTGGGGAGTTCCCTCCTTGTAAGCACAGAGGTGGAAAGGGATCTTGGAGTCATTATTGACTCCAAGATGAACATGAGCCACCAATGCCAGACTGCAGCCAGCAAAGCCACCCATACCTTGTTGTGCATCCAAAGGTGCATCTCAAGCCGGTCCAGAGAGGTGATCCTCCCCCTCCATGCGACACTAGTCAGGCCACAATTGGAGTACTGTGTTCAGTACTGGGTATTGCACTTTAAAAAGGATGTGGCCAGCCTGGAGAGGGGTCAGAGGAGGGCCACCCACTTGGTGAGAGGGCAGCAGGGCAGGCCCTATGAGGAGAGACTGAGGCACCTGAACCTGTTCAGCCTCAGCAAGAAGAGGCTGAGGGGGGACCTGGTGGCTGCCTACAAACTCATCAGGGGAGATCATCAGCAAATAGGAAGAGCCCTAGTCTCCCCAGCACCACCTGGGGTGATGAGGAGCAATGGTAATAAGCCAATGGAGAATAGGTTTAGGTTAGAGATCAGGAGGCAATATTTTACAGTTAGGGTGGCCAGAATCTAGAACCAACTTCGCAGGGAAGTGGTCCTCGCCCCTACCTTGGGCAAATTCAAGAGGAGGTTGGATGATCGCCTGTCTGGGGTCTTGTGAACCCAGCATTCATTCCTGCCAGTAGAAGGGGGTCAGGGTAGGTGATCTGTTCAGGTCCCTCCTGACCCTAGTTACTGTGAAACTGATTGAAGTCCCTGCCCCTCCAGGGCAGAAGGTTGTGAAAGCCTAGTGGGGAGTTTAGGTGAATAATGTAAAGATCTTGTGTTAACACATGAAAAAACCCCAAAAAACACTACTGAAAATGATACTCCAGCTCTTCTCATGAGCAAAACCAGAAAAAGATGAATGCCTTATGCTGTATGTTGTTGGAGTTGTTTAACCACAAAACGTTAGGTGCAAAGCTAGGGCCCAGTCAAAGCTAACTGGAGCAGACACAATCTCACACAACCCTCCTCCCCGCCCCGCCAAAAACCTGTGTGCTAATGACCTCCTCCTTTGGGAGCTGAAGCTGTTAAACTCTACCCATGTCTAGTCAGGAAACCATTAGAAGAAGGCTTCCAGCCATCCTAGAAGTAAGATTCTTAAACAGTCCTCCAGCGGGGGCCACGTGAGCAACAATCTTAAGTACTTTTAAGATGGTGCTTGACCAGTTTGTGAATGGGATTCTGTCATGGTTGCCCAAGACAGTGGGGGACTGGACCACAAAATACCCTTCTAGTCCTGTGTTCCCAAGAAGTACTGACATGTTGCAAGGCTGATCTGACTTTGGAGTGGGAGATGAGCTGAGCTTTCTGGTAGTTAGCCCCTTGGGCTTACTGGACTCCAAAGAGCAGGGGCTTCTGGAGTGCCTGAAGAAAAGAGCAAAAGCAAGTGAATGTTGTCCCATGGATGTTGCAGGTAGAGCATTATATTGCATATGGCACAATCTGTGGGTTATGTGCAGCCAGTGGTGTGTGTGTCTTATGCTTTTTTGATTACCTATCCTGGGCTTATCACCTGGTGTCCCAGGACCTGTAGAGACTACAGAGTCAGTACCATAGGGGCCAGCCCCCAGTGCTGCATGTATTACTAGGCTAAGCTGTGTAGAAGTACATGGAATAGATCTGAGACTGAAACCCACTTGGATCCTCCTGCAGTGATGATCTCTCATCATGGGCAGCTAGAGGCCAGGTATCTGAGACTGTTCCCTGACTCTTACTCTCTGTGGTACAGCATGTCTTAGTGCTCTTGCATGTTGGCTTGTTAGCTATTTGTAACCCATTGCTCCAGTCACTGGCAAAATTGGATTCTCCTGCTACCCACCTTTCATCCAGATGGTGAGTCCAGGTGTCGGGGAGTCAAGAGGAGAGGAAATGCTAAATTGCAGGCTTCTGAATTCACAGGCTTCTGTTCAGAAAGTGTCACTGTGCATGAGATCCTCAGAGTCTGCAGAAGATGGGGCAAAGTGGTTTCCAGCATTGGACCAGGTGATGGCATTTGCCATAGAAGGTTTTTTAAGTGACTCTGGCTGCTTTTGGAAATAAGACTCCTGGTCATGAGGCCTAAGAGGGTAAAAGGGAAGGGAACCTCAACTTGGCATTCTGACCGTGTGACGACTGTGCGAATCAGTCGCACCAAGATCAGTCAGAGCCAGTTGAGAGAGAAAAGCAGAAACAGCAGAACTTGGCCTTTGATGGCTCCCTTTTGTTTGGCTTTGTTTTTCCTGTACTTTTTAAAAGACTCTTAAGGACCCAAGGATACAGAAATTCTCTATTTCTGTAAAGTGGCCCAGCTCCACTAGAATCAACGCAACTATACCAGATTACACCAGCAGGGCATTTTGGCCCCATCTGCTGTTTTTCTCTGACATATTCATCCTAGCCCTAGTTCTTACAGTATCTGAGTATCTTTTGCTTTGGGGCTAAGATGGTCAGTGCTAGAGAGAGATCAAGACATCTGTCAGAGGCCACTGATCATTTGTAGGGGCCTCAGCTCCAGATTGCCAGAAGGATCTGTGTCCCAGTGGTACCCGATGTTACCTATTTAGACACCATTCCTTCCCCAGAGTAACTTTTCCTCTCTCCCCGCTCCCCTCCCCATGCTAACTTCTGTTTCCAAAACTGCCAAATGCAGCTGCAGTCCTTGGGTTGCATTTCCAGTTCCCAGCATGGAAGGTTTGCTCTTTATCTTGGAGGGGCACCCTCCAATACCAAAAAGGGAAAACAACCCGCCAAAGGAAGCACTTTGTTTTGGATGGAGATTCCAGATTGCTCACACATTTGTCAGGTGAGGCCAGGCAAGGGAAACACGGATTTTCTCTTTTGATGTGGCTGGATCTCTGTCTGGCAGCAAGAGTAGGAAATACAGATTATTATTATTATTTTCTTTTTATGACTGCCATGTGTTTGACAGGCAATTCAGTTCATTCTGAGGAGCTGCATAGCCTTCTGTCTGCTCCTGGGGGCTTAGCTAATTCCCAGGCAAAGTAACCTCAATTACAATTTAAACAAAATAAAAACAAAAAAGCAAGCCCTACATCTCTCTCTCCAGTGTTGTTTAGGGCCAAGCATTCCCTCCCCCTTTCTCAAACTCCGTTCCAGCTTTTCAGACCTTTCTGGCATAATTTCCAACAGTGGCCAGTCAGCCTTGGACATCCACCTAACGACACCAAAGAGCATGATGGATTTTCAGAGGAGCCTGCAATATTGCGGCATTCCCAGGTCTCCTTGATTTCATTTGAACCTTTGGTTGCTCAGGTCTATGAAAGCCCTGCATGTTTGCACTTGTGTGCATTTCTCCATCAGCTGAGAATTAAACACTGTCTGTGTAAAATCAAGGGTAACACCCTAAAAGTGAAAGCCAAGCTCCCTTGGAAAATGTGGGCCTTTGTTTCTAAAAGTTGAGGGGAACACCCACCATGATGGGGACACTGGGAGTTGGATGGGTATTTGCAGAGCATAGTGGTGTCAAGTAAGTAACAGGTATGCTCTAGCTGAATCTGCTGCAGTCATTCTTAGGATCTCCAGGACTTTCATGCAGAAGGGTTATTTGTATTTTATTTTATTTTAATTAGCTGTAACCTCCTGGCAGCGTGTTCTGCTGTGGCTTTGCCAACTCATTGCCTTGGCTACACGGCAAACTTTGCTCCCGTATGGCATCTGGCTGTCTGCCTGTCCCCCAAAGACTCCAGTGTCTAATCTTCACAAAGCCCTTGGCCTCCTGCTCTCCTTGCAACTGGAAGATGAAGCTCCCTTCCTGAGCCAAACATCATTTTCTCTTCTTGCTCATCTTGGAGTAATGTCTGGAGCAAGTTTGCAGGCTGGGCCCCTCCACACTCCCCAGTTGTCTTCTCTCAATGTGCAGGGCAAAGGCGCTGGGGCTTGGCGAAGGGGAATTTGGACCTTTTGAGGACTGCCTGCCCACCCAAGCCCCTGGCTACACATATTTTTAAAGGCGTGTTACTGGTACTTACAAAAAAAAGCACAACCTTCTGAACATCTGATGTTAATAGGATTGTTCCTGAAGTGAACATGTGTGCAAAATAGACCACGCTTTCAACACCCTGCAGTGGGGAAGAGAGCACTTCTCCGATCGGCAGCCAGGAAAGGAGACTAGGCAATTACATCCCAAACTGTTTGTTAAAACTTGTGGAAATTACTCATAGGTCCATGTGTACAATGCCTTTGTAGTTGAGCGATGTTCTTTGTTCGATCATGAGGTGCTCAAAGAGACTGTGAGTGAGTGTGCGTGTGTGCACGTGTGTGTGTTTGTGTGCGTATGTCTGCACTGACTGGGCAAGCCAGCAGATTATGTCATAGAAGAAGC